TGGCTTAAACTCATGCCGGGAGTGTGTGCGTGCCTAAGATCCTGAGAGGAGAATGGAGAAGAAGGGATTGCAGCGTGGCCATCCTCCCTGGGGGGTGATTTCTCGCTTGCTGTCTCTCTCTGTCTGTCTGGCAAGCGCACGTGCCCTATAGCAAAATTCTCTATCTTAAGAAAAAAAATAAATAATTGTAGGTCTCCATAGCACACAATATAGTTTTGCAGGAATATGGATTATGTTACTGTCAAATCAAGGATATTACCATATTTCTCTTTTCCATGGGAGAACTTTACATTCTTAAGTCTGTCAAAATGCTCTTTTCAGTCCAAACAACACCTAGAAACAAAATCTGGTATTTTCGCAGGTACTCTTGTTAACTGTGTTTTTATGATGCAATAATTCAGATTTTTAAAAAATTGCTAAAAGGCATGTTGCTCACCAAAGAGAGACAAAGAGAGGGAGAGAGAGACCACTTTCTCTTTTCTTTTCTTTTTTTTTTTGGAGAGGTTTTCGCTATAGGGTGCGTGCACTCTCCAGACAGACAGAGAGAGACAGAGAGACAGAAAGCGAGAAATCACCCCCCAGGTGGTATGGCCACGCCGCAATCCCTTCTCCTCCATTCTCTTCTCGGGATCTTGGGCACGCGTGCACACGTGCCTGGCATGAGTTTTAAGCCACCGGGTCCAGGACTTGAACCGTGGTCGACTACGTGGGAGTCCAGCGACATAGCCATTATGCTAACTGCTGGTTCTGAGACCACTTTCTCAATGGAGCACAGTCATACTGCAATCGCTTCATTTCTTTATGCTACTGAGGTTTTGAGAATGCATGCATAGATGCCCAGCTTATTTTTCAAGTTGCCAGGCAAGACTGGAGGTTGGCCATGTTCCATTTAGCTCCCTTAAGCAATAAATAATGGGGCCAGCCCACCAATTCAAATTTATGCACAAGAAAGAACATAAAATATGAAAACTTTATACCCACTGCCCTGCTCCACTTTGCCAATTATTAACCTTTGGCAATGTGAAGAGTTTTTAAAACAGGTCATTAAATGTGTATAATGAAAAAAATATATATGGATCTCAAAATATTTTTGCACCAAAATAAATTCCATTTCCCATGAACTTTTGAGGTCCTCGTGCTAGGCCCCGACTCTGGAGTTTCTACCTCAGCTGGGCAATTGAAAGAGCTGAAGATCTGCATTTCTCCTGTGTTCCCAGGTGACATGGATTCTGCTAGAAACCAAAGTCTGAGAACCACTTTCCTGCACAGCCTAATATAGATGTGCACAGTGAGGTGTGTAAGAGAATGTCTATTGTTGGAAAAAATTTAGAAGCATCTTGAATGCCCACCAACAACAGAAGGAATAAATATGTAGGTTTTATAAAAATATATAACAAGATATCCATATAAATTTATTTATTTGTTTGTTTGTTTATTTACTAGTGTCATAGGGTAAGAGAATCTATAGTTCATTGGGTTTTGTGCATAATATCATGACATTGATAAATTTAATGATTAGTGTCCCAAAATAGAGTGTGTATGCATAAAATTCAGTAAAAGCACACCATCTATTTAAGAGGGATGCCAAACACAAGAATATGGGGCCCCAGAAACAAAGCGGCCTGGTTTCACACTGGACTCAACCATTTCTTTTCCTTTTCCTTTCTTAGCAGGATTTACCTAAAATCAGAATATTCTGTTCAGAGACATTGCTTTTCTAGTTCTGTTGTGAACCTATAAAAAATACTTTTGTTAATATCAAGGCTATTGTGTAAGTAAATTTTGTTCTGTAAAATTATAGACAATGAGAAATTGCTGTTTGAATTATTTTTTTTCCCCCAAGAGTCAATATCTCCTCCTCTTTAAAGATTCTGAACCTTATGGACCACTTTGACACATAGGCGAAGCCTCAATTTCCAACCAAGGTGCAAAGATGCACATAAAGGGTTTTCAGGCAAAACATTCCATATTAATCTTAATTTGGTAGTTTCCAAGGAAACAGGACCCTGAGTCTATTTCTCAGCAATGCTAGTGATCAGACATTATGTTTCTTTTTTAAAATTTATTTATACATTCAATCACTATACATCATTTAGATTATAAAGAAACTATGCCCAGCATAATATATACCTCAGACAAGCCCAGTTGAGAATACTATACGTTTCCTCATCAACAGAAAATAAACCATATCTGTGTCCCACAAATGTCTTACCTCTCTAATTTTCCCCCTAATTTCTTTTCCTACACTCTTCCCCCTCCCACTCTCCTTCCACTTTCTCCCTAGTGTCCATAACAATTTTCAATGCTTTTATGCTCTCTAGTCTTTAAGTCTTTACCATAGACTGCAGAGAGTTAGTATATGTTAAGAGGAGACATTCAATGTCTCTCTTTCATAGCCTGTCTTGCTTCACTCAGCAGTAAATCTTCCATATTCATCCACTGTCTATCAAATGCCTGGGTCTTGATTACTTTTTATGGCTGAGTAGTATTTCATATCTTATATGTGCCATACTATTTCAATCCATTCATGTGTTCATGTATATTTGGATTGGTACCAAGTTCTAGCAATCGTGAATAATGCTGCAATAACCATAGATAATGAACGTTTTCCTATCCCTTTGGTAGATACTCAGGTGTGGAATTGCTGAATCTATTCCTAGATCTTTGAGAAACTTCCATATTGTTCTTCACAGAGGCTGGACCAATTTATATATCCAACAGCAGTGTACAAAGGTTTCCCTTTCATCACATTCCCACCAGTATTTATCATTTATTTATTTAATCTTTGCCATTCTGACTAGGATTAGGTGATATCTCATTGTGATTTTGATCTGTATCTCCCTTATGAATAGGGATGTTGAGTATTTTTTCTTATGCTTTTCGGCTGTTCGTATGTGTTCCTTAGAGAGTTGTTTATTCAGCTCCTTTATTCATTTTTTAATTGGGTTAATAAATTTTGTTTGTTGGTTTGTTTGCTTTTTTGACAAGTTGCTTGAGTTCCCTGTGTATCCTGGTTATCAATCCCTTGTCTGAGGCATAGTTTACCAAAAATATTCTATTTCGAGAGTTGCTGACTCACACTAATTGAATTGAGCTGTGTCCATTGCTGTGCGGAAATTTCTTAATCTGATGTAATCCCACTTGTCTATTTTGAGGATAATTGCCTGTGTTTTGGAAGTCTTATTTAAGAAGTCTTTGCCTATTCAAGGTCTCCCAGAGTTTCCCCAGTGTTTTCCACCAGTAGTTTTACAGTATTTCTTTAAATATTGTACAACATGTATTTGCTTGTTTTGCCTTATTATTAATTTTAATCAGGAATAGAACTGGATTGGAAGTTACACAGGTCAAAGAAACACATAGACACATACATACACACAGTGAATTACAAGGTGATATTAAACATAGTTTGTAGGAGACCATTGTTTTAGATTAGGCTCCTGTACTAGGCACCAGCACACCAGATCAGACCAAAATGGATTACTGTATGCTAAATACCACACAATCAAATCAAACTCTGAAACAGAAAGAGGTTTGCAATAAAAGGTCAGTCTTAGTCAGTGTCATAGGAAGTACTGTCTTTGTAGTTTTTTAAAGAAAGTAACTTTGAAATGGCTAATCTTATTTTTGTTCGCTTTTTCTGCTTTCTTCAGGCATTTTATGTCTGAAAATCCAAACTCCTCTGCTTCATTTATTGTAGCAGTCATTCTATTTTACGTAATGAAATATTGTCCAATTAGATGATAGGCAAAAGACAAAACTTGTCTTTTGTCTATTATTGGTAATAACAGTACTAATTCTTATTAATATTAATAATACTGGTTTTATAGTATTTTGTCTTTTGATAGGCCAGAATAAAATTTAGTAGTGGGTTATGTATCTAATTGGAATAAGCCAAATCCAAAGAAGAAAGCAATGAAAATATTCATTTAATATATTATTCTGTTGACTTTGGGAAAAGATTTTACAATAATGCAGAGGTGGGAAATCTTATGATGCAAGTTCCGTATAATATCTGATTTTATATATTTGGATATAGCTTTCTCTTTTTTTGGAGAATTAACTTTATGCCTTTAGAGAATTGATTCTATAATTAATATCTATTATCTAGTCCCAGTGATTACCCTAGAGTCTTGAAGCAAAACAAAATAAAAAGTGTAGCAACATGAATTTACTCATACGGTGTCTCAAAATTTTACTATGAGATAAGTATATATTCCACTCTATTTTAATGATAATTTTTCATTTAAAAAATATTTCACCACTAACTGAGAGCTCAGATAAAAGAAAATAATAGACTTCTTTGGTAAGACACTACCTAGGAAAAAAGTTATAAAGGTCTATTGATTTTCACTGCAGTAGATATGTTTTTTGGTACTACATGGCATTAATTTGATAGTGTATGCCGTGATACTGAAATAACAATGTATTGAATAATTCATTTCTAAAACTTTGCAAGATCATTCTTAAGGAATTACAGATGTCAAATTATTGTTTATTTAAAATGCTTACTATTTTTACTGCTTGGGATTATACAGAAGCTATTCCAAATGGTATAAATGCATGAGTTTGGGAGTTAAAGGATGTATAGAGAGATTTTCAAGGAAAGAAATAAAATGTATTGTTGTTAATCTATATACCTTTGCAGAGAATGGGAGAGATTTCAGTCAATATATTTCTATCCTCTACATTTTGGATATGGGCTAATATAGAAAGAATTTAAACATACTTTTGTAGAAACTGAAAATATGTGAAGACTTAGATCAGTGGTTTGAGAGCCTTATAACTAAGGTTCAATACAGATAATTGTTTATTAAATTTCATCCCTTATGTATCATTACGCTCTCTTCTTTCCCTCATACCATTTTACTTACTATGCTATAGTATTATAGTATTTAAAAAATTATTTATAATCCTAGTTAATATGTATGCTTTTTTCAAGTAAACTTTGGAAGGAAAAATATTTACAAATAATACAAATTTAAAAAATAAATTTCCAATAAATGAGCATGAAAAACTATACCTCTCTGCATGAGTTCATCTTGTTGGGATTAGCAGACACAGTGGAGCTACAGATCATCCTCTTTTTCCTATTTTTTGCAATTTACACCTTTACAGTTTTGGGGAATGTTGGGATGATCTTCTTAATCAGGATTGATTCCAGACTTCACACACCCATGTATTTCTTCCTGGCTAATCTGTCCTTTGTGGACATTTGTTATTCATCCACCGTCACCCCAAGGATGCTAATAGATCTATTATCAGAGAAGAAAACCATCTCCTTTGCTGGCTGCTTCCTGCAGATGTACTTCTTCATTGCCCTGGCAACAACAGAATGCATCCTCTTTGGGTTAATGGCCTATGACCGTTACGTGGCCATATGCAACCCACTGCTCTACACCATGATCATGTCCAGAACGGTCTGCCTGAAAATGGCAGCTGGGGCTTTCACTGCAGGATTGTTGAACTCCATGGTCAACACAAGTTATGTGAGCAGCTTGCCCTTCTGTGGCTCCAATATCATCCATCACTTCTTCTGTGACAGCCCCCCACTATTTAAGCTCTCATGTTCTGACACACGCCTGAAAGAAACCATCTTTTCCACTTTTGCTGGAGTGAATATGGTTGGAGTTCTGCTAGTCATCCTGACTTCCTACTCCTACATTCTCTTCTCCATCTTCCGTATGCATTCAGGGGAGGGGAGGCACAAAGCTTTGTCAACCTGTGCCTCTCACCTGACAGCCATAATTCTGTTCTATGCCACTGCCATCTATACTTATCTGAGACCGAGTTCCAGCTATTCTCTAAATCAGGACAAAGTGGCTTCTGTGTTCTACACAGTAGTGATCCCCATGCTGAATCCTCTGATCTATAGCCTCCGGAATAAGGATGTGAAGAAGGCTTTATGGGATTTAATTACAAGGAAAAGAACTCCTTCATTTCTGTAATTTTTAATTAAATATCTGAGTCAAATATGTTTAATTTACTTTAAAAGTCTAGTTTAGGCTTACATTTTCTCATTAGAATATTTTCTCAGTAAACATTTTATGTTAATACTTAAATATCTGTGTGTAATTTGGGATGATGCAACAAAGTGACTTTCAGTTTATAATTATTCTGTTTCTTTATTAGATCCTCAGAATTAAGACTTCATAGTAATGAAATATTAGCTGGAGGGCAAAAGGTATTAAATGTTTAGAAACCAAAGTTGCCATGTCACATAAATCTATCCAAATAGAATCAAATAGAATAATTTGATTAGTAATTTCTTGTTTTTCCTGTGCTTTATTTTCCCCATTTACTATTCTCAATAAATTGTTAAATATCTTATATGATGGTAATACTTTAAATTAAAATGTGTGTGTGTGTGTGTGTGTTTGTGTGTCTGTGTGTCTGTGTGTGTGTATAAATTTTCTACAATGTGCATACACTAGCAAGAAACAGAGAGAAAGAGAGAGAAAGTGGAAAAGAGAGACAGCACCATCCCACGGGGGATGGTCACACTGCCATGCTTCCTTTTTAGTTCCTCCTTTTGGGATTCTGGGTGCACATATACTAGCTCCCAGTGTGTTTCTCTAGCCATCAGATCTGGGACTCAAATTATGCAGTGAGCTATATGGGAGTCAACTGCCTTGCTTGCCAGGAAGACAGAGAGACAGAAAGTGAGAAATCACCCCCCAGGGGGGATGGCCACACCACAATCCCTTCTCCTCCACTTTCCTCTCGGGATGTTAGGCATGCAAACACATGCACCCAGTGTTGAGTTCAAACCACTGGGTCCGAGATTCAAACTGTAGTCAACTACATAGGATTCCAGCGACATAGCCATTACGTTAACTGCTGGTCCCATCATGTACCATGAGTTTAAGCTGCAGGGTCCTGCACTTGAACTGTGGTCAAGTATATGGGAGCCCAGTGATGTAACCACTATGCTATCTGTTGGTCCTGGAAATTAGTTTTAATAGAAACTAAGCACTACACTTCTTATTTTCTTCACCTCTACATACATATATGTGTGTGCATACATTCTTTAGATAGTAAACATGAGTTTATTTAAAAATATATATTAAGGAAACCACTCTTAGATTACAATATATCAACTACAAATCTATTTCCATTCCCCTCCATAATTCTCAAAATCTGCTTAATTATTTTGCTATAATCTGAATTTGCCACTATATCAAAGTTTGCCCTAAATTCGTATGTCAAAGCAAAGCAGAAGGTGTGATAGTGATAAGAAGGGCCTTTAGATGGTAGATATTAGAAAGGTAGAACCCTCATGAATGGTGTTTGTGCTCTTATAAAAGAGACATGCAAGGTCTGTTCATCCTTTCCTTTATGTGGAGACAGAGCAAGTAGGCACCACTTTTTGAAGCAGAGTAAGACTACCAGATAAGAAATCCACTGATGTCAAGGGACCAGCAGTTAGCGTAATGGCTATGTCGCTGGACTCCTACGTAATCGAACGCGGTTCAAGTCCCGAACCTGGTGGCTTAAACTCATGCCGGACACATGTGCATACATGCCCAAGATCCCAAGAGGAGAATGGAGGAAAAGGGATTGCGGTGTGGCCATCCCCCCTGGGGGTGATTTCTCACTTTCTATCTCTCTGTCTGTCTGGCGAGTGCACACACCCTATAGCAAAAAAAAAACCTCTTCAAAAAAAAAAAAAAGAAATCCACTGATGTCTTATTATTGGAGTTTCTAACCTCTAAAAATAGTGAGCAATTATTTTCCGTTGTTTGTAAACTATCAGCTGAATTATTTTGTAACAGTAACCCAAGTGAATAGAGCCACCTTACTCTCTCTTTCTTTTAGATTGATGAAAAAAGAAAAAAAGCACCCCTGAACAAACATTGAAACCCTGCAAAGAGTTCAATTGTGATATTTGCAAAAGAGGTAGATCATTGTTCAACAAGAGAATGAAATATTTCCTAAAATTGTTCATAAATTTTCTGCTTACAGAAGTGTTCTTTTAATTAGCAATAAGATCAATTAAAATAAATCTTAATAACTAAAGCTAAGAATTATTAAAATAAAGGTAAATAAGGAGTTAGCGGATAGCCACAGTTGACAGTGTTTGAAGGGACATTCCCCAAGGCCTATGTCTCTGCCCTCATGCTTGGTGCTGAAGTTAAAGTTGATAGAAGCAGTGATATTTCTTTCATCTGTGATATGCCGACAGCAGAAAATTATGCCATGCCAAAAGTTATCCAGCTTCATTTTATAGCACATATTGCATATTCTTTCTTGTTCTATTTATTTACATTAAAGAGTTACAAGTGTTTTAATTTTCTGTAACTAAAATAATTTAATTTGTAAAAGCAAAGATACTGCTATTTAAGAAACTCAGTTATTAAGAAACTGCTATTTATTACAGAGTGTGGTTTTCTCATTCTCTTCTTTAGAAGATAACAATGTTTATGGAAATCTTACTTAAAATGTAATTTTTTTTTTTGTCTCTTTGCTCTATTGATTCTTTATTTTTTTCTAATCACTGTCTTGGATGTTTATGATTACCACCCTTTCATTCTGGAACTACAGATATAAATAAATGTTTTGTCTTATTCAATGGTTTTGAATGATTTATTAAAATTAATGAGAAGAGGGGCCCGCAGGGGGTGTTGTGGCTAAGGTGTCTGGATCCCACATGACCAACTCCACAGTTCAAGTCCCCAACCCAGCAACTTGAAAGCATGCCAGTAGGATCTGCATGCATACTCAAAATCTGAAAAAGAAATGGAGGAGAAAGGATTGCAGCATGACCATCACCCTGGTGGTAATTTTTCACTTTACCTCTCTCTCTCTCTCTCTTTCTCTCTCTCTTTCTCTGTTTCTGTCTGTCTCTGGCAAGCACATGTTCCATGTAGCAAACATTTTAAAAAGTTAATGAGAAGAATTTGAAATGTATGCCATTAAATTTCCATATTTTGGGTAACACTTTTCAGTGGTTAGGTGAAGTCAAGGAGAGACTAGTTCACAAAATTATTGAATAACATAAATTGGAAAAGCAAGTAACAAGTTGGGAAAAATAAAATCACATACATACAAAAAACTCAAGTTGTTACTAGTATAGATGGAGTGCTGCATTAAGGCAGAAATGCATAGACATGGTTTGATATTGACATATGCAATTTTGCTTTAGCTAGTCAAGTATAAACCAAAATGTGCATCATTTTAATTGTATAAAAATGATAAGTCGTACATTTTGTATGCAGTATTTAGATAAAGGCTAAATCCCCAATTAAGTGAAGTAGTAATCTCATTTAATGTCACACTGTTCAAATAAAATAAAAAACAGTGTGCCCAATCATACTTAACACATTTCAAAGTCTAGAGATAAACAATGTTATGTCAAGAAAGTAACATGTCAGTGGTCAGGGGTATGTGAGGAAAAACATGACATTTTGTTGTTAAGTGCAGAAATAATTTCCTGCCTTGATTAGGTACTTTAAATGAACTATTTTATTTTTTTTTTTAATTGGAAAGACTAGATCAGATGATTATTAGTCAAAAGAGAAAAAACAATAAATTTACAAAGAAAATGAGAAAGCTATTTCTATGGCCGATCGTAGTAAAATAGCTTTATCCCTTAGTAGTGGAGCCCAGTAAAATCAAGTAATGCGGGCTCATAAAATGGAAATATATGGTTTACTTTAGGAGTAAACCTGTCAGAATTAAGAGAAACCTAGATAGTTATTATAGAATTATTTTGGATATTTATATAAGGGTGTTTCCACAGTTCATTGGCTTGTGAGTTGGTTCTCACACCTTAGTGATGAAATAAGCCATGCTATTGGCTGCAATGGTTCTCTACCTTGCAGGCAGTACATTGTAGGACTTCTTAGTCTCCATAATTATATGAACCTGTTCCCCTAATAAATCTCCTCTCCTATCTCTATTACCTTTCATATATCTTTTTGCATGTTTATCTACCTATCTGTACTATTGATTCTGTCTCTCTGGAGATCCCCAACTACCACCAATTTGGATATTAGAAGTGGTCTCATAGAGGAATAGAATTTTAAGAATGATTTTGCCTTCTTTGTTTTGTAAGTTTTGAAATTGACTATCTAATTTTATATTATAAAAATACTAAGGTTTATACTTCCAATAATACTGGGAGCACTGAGAATCCATGCTGCGAACTGTTTTAATAAATTCATAACATATTTTCATTGGAGACTCCTAGTCAATCACTTATATGAGACAAGAATGTCAGTAACTCTGCATATTGAAGCAGGCGTGACTCCACCTTGGAAGAGCATCTCCATTATAAACTGTTAGATTCCTATGACTAGAAACTTGCCTTCTCTTTTGCCTAAGAGTAAATAGAGTAATTAACACTCATATTATCTTTAAAACCCACTCTACCTAGTTGCCTTAACATATAATATCCAGGGACCAGCAGATGGCATAATGGCTACGTCGCTGGACTCCCATGTAATAGACTGCAGTTCGAATTCTGGACCCGTGGCTTAAACCTTAAACCTACACCAGGTGCATGTGTATGTATATGCAAGATTCTGAAGTGACATTGGAGAAGAGATTTCAGCATGGCCATCCCTTTTGGGGGGGTGATTTCTCATTTTCTGTCTCTGACTGTCTTTCTGGAAAGCACATGCACCCTGTAGGAAAAAAAAAAAAAAAGAAACTCTCTAAAAACAAATGCAATCTTCAGTCACTGGACCTTGCCCAGAGCCATGGAAATCAGTGAGATGCCACTGTGTTTAGTCAGGGATGGAATATACCTTTAAGAATGATTAACCTGCTTACTTGCTTGCTCTGCTTCTATAATGTGCTTTTGCTCTTGTAAAATCTACCCCCTACCCTTCCAAGCCCACCACGCCTTTGTCCTTTTGATCATTATATCATGGTGTAGGGAGGTAGGGACATTGTGATCTTTGCCTTTATATGCACCCTTTTTCTTTCATTCCACACAAGTCCC